CTCTAGTAGTTACAAATAAAACTCATTACTCAGAGATAATATTGATGTTACCACGAGATAATTCCTTTTGCAATCGAAGTAAAGCCATTATAATTTATAATAAATGAATACTGCATGGAAGAAATGAAGAAATCTCTGTAACTGGTATTCATAGTCCGTTTTTATTTCAAGATCATCTTTATAAGTAATGTCTCAAATGCTATATACGGCTCTGCGACTGGTTTAGGACATCTTAAGACGGTTTTAAATTTAAGAATAGACTGTGCGAATTCCAGCCTTTATGCTGCGTATTTAAAAAGTAAATCCATTTTTATACTAGCCAGGCGTCACTTACTTTCTAAATGTTTCAAGTGAAACGCGTTTATATTTGAAATGTGATCAGTGAAGTCTATATGTTCTTAGACATAAATTATAATCGCACGAGTTTTAATTTTGCTATTTCCGGAATGATCTATCTACGGAAACCAATTGGATTTATGAACACACATACACATACATTGCAAGAAAATGAATTGATAATATATTTTAGTGACCTATCTGTCCAACAAAAATTGTTAATAATATATTATTCATTTAAAGAAATATCAGATATTTTTTATTGTATGTATGTCAAGTATAACACAATATATATTAATTTTATTTTTATATTAATAAAAATGTTTTTTTGTAATAAAAAACAATTTTATCCAAATGCTCATTTTATTTTAAACGTACATGATTTTCTAATACACGTATGTATAATTCAAAATCATTTTTCAAATTCAAGTTAATATTTCTATTCACTCATACACATTAGCAATAGTATTATTAGCAATAATAAGTTACTAAATATAATACAACGACCGTGTGATTTGATCTGTACACGCAAAACAGCCTTGGCCAAATATAAGAAAGACACAATAGACGACACAATAGACGATCCTTCGTTCAGTCACATACGGTGATACACCGTGCGATGCAAAGGCTCACAATGTAACGCGGCCTCAGATGTCCAATCAAAGACGAGACTGCTAGAAAAATAATTGGCCACAATTGTTAAATTGTGCATTTCCTGATAAAAGTGGCCGGAAGACGGTCTCGCCGTCGATTCTGTCGAAATTTACAATACGCGCCAAGTAACGACGTGCGAGTTTATCTGGGACTCGCGGTCCCTTAGATCATTTTAAACTCAATCGCTTTGATTCTTTTGTCTTCAACAAAGAAAAGTAGGAATGTGGGTCATCTGTCGAACATAATCGGAAGCATTATTTTTCATCCGACCGTCAATTAAGTTCATCGATCAAATGATTTTTATTCGTTCAATGTCTATTATTGTTCCTTTCACAATTGTATCTTTAATTGTTTCTCGTATTTATAAATTTGTCGTCGGGAGGGAATATCGACCATATCAGTTTCATTTATCTTCATAATGTTACATCCATCTGCGGCGCCTGCGATAATTATATTCGTGGGTTGTACAGTAAAGTCAGATTAGGATACACAAACAAATGAGCAACCGACCGAGTTTAGATTAGATTATGGCGCCAAGACAGAAGATTGATATTTCAATGTTACTTATTGTTTGATTGCAAAGTGGTATTCAGTAAATATTGCAATACTGAAATATAATTTTGGAAGCCACTATTTATTTTGATATTTTGTAACCTATAATTTTCGAAACTAAAAAAAACGATTTTAACTTTCTTAATTTAATTTATCATTATTAATATCGATATTAGTATCCATTAATAATAATAATTAAATAATTAAATACATTAATTATTTTTAAAAAATAGCTATATTTTTATATCAGAATAGAGTTTAGATAAAATATCGTTTAACTCTTTTAAATTTAATTGGCTTCAGTTAAAATTAACATCACAATAATTTACATAATATGTTTCAAGTACTTTAAATATAAAAAAATTATTTATCTGCCCGTAATGCTAAACTCAGAGAAATCTCACCATTGGAATATTACACAAGATAAAATATCTCTTTCAATAAAATATTATATGAAATAATATATATATATTGTTATCTTACTTTCGCGGATCCACTTACCAAAACATTTCTGCCGTCAGAAGTTACAATTAACGCGACAATTAGCGCGGCGATCGCGACCATTGTGTCAGATGCACGTGTAATAATAAACCAATTGTTAAAAATCTCATTGCACGAAGGAGGTGCTTCCGGTCTTTACTACAATCGATCGAGGATAACCGTAAATGAAATAATTATCGTCCGAGCGCAGCTCGGCGTGGCCCGAGGTCAGGGGCCATAATAACAGATCACTTGGCCCGACTCGTACGGCATACGTTGTAACAGTTAATGCGCAATTATTCAATTGAAAGCGGTTGATTCACGCAGGAACTGGCCGCGGTAAAAAGTTCAGAAAACACATCGTGTAAATTTTTGCACACGAATTTTCGCCGACGACGATGAAAAGAAGCAAAGAATTTATAGTTATACTGATAACAAATTCTAATAGTTACAAAAAATACGGTATGTGCTTCAAATATTATTTTCAATTTTGAAACTATTAATGTTTCTATATTTCTGCTAATAAGCATTGATTCTAATTGTACGTGAAGCAAGGAACAATGCTATGTACAAACGTCCCATCAATTCTGGTATTTCCAGTTGTTGAATTATTAAAGCAGCTTTGTAAGCCGCTTAACATTGTGCAGCTAATGAACATTTATTGGTATTAAATAAATCCTAGAAGAGAGTTTTACCTGCAATAATATCATTTATTAAATAGAAAATTTAACAAAACACGTGATATAGTAATTATTATATTAATAATAATACAAATATTAAAAGGAAAATAATATTAATAATACAATAATAATAATATAATAATAGAAACACTTACAGAAAATTAATTAACTGTACAATACTTAATAAGTATATCGTCAGAAGAAAAAGTGAAAATGGAGATACGTAGCACCAGCTAGAGACTCTTAATTTGTCTATCGTTCTTAATATATTAATCAGAGCTAATTGCTGAAAGTACAATCAAATTTATAAACAATGCATTAATGATGCACATTATTTTTTAATAACTCTACACTCTTACACACACACGCACAGTCTATGTATTCTCGAATGAGAAACAGAAATTTTTTCGAGAATACAGAGTTCCTTTACTCACATCATAGTGGCATGTCTTTTCGTTCCTGTGACCCGCGATCACAAGCAGCTATTATTGTTGTCGTTGCGACAAGGGAACAGGTATCGATTCTTTGGTATCGACATAATGCGGCGCATGCTGCCATGCGACCAAAATTTCGGGTAGTAAAAATATGAGACAAACAAAAATATATCGCAAAAAAACTTCATTTATGCCAAATCTAATTGTTCTGCATAAATTATCTATATCTATCTCAAGATAAACAGAATCTTTAAAATAATACATTCGGTAATAAAAAATTTCACAGTCTCATTTTTTTATGTTTTACAAACATTCTACAAAATATACGATATTTTAAAATTGGCAGAAAATATCACCACTTCTCACAGAATTGGGTATAGACTTTTGCAATGTAATAATTGAAAATAATTGATATTTATGCATTGTTATCGAAATAAGATATCGCAATATTGGAATGTGTATAATGAAAAAATCTCGGCCATACCACTTCGACGATGTACGTCTCTTTGGCAAACATTGTGTGAGATTGTGTTGTTCCCAATGTGCGTAGCTCTTTTCGCGTTTATATATAATCATCGACTTTATCAGCGCCACGAATACGGTACACGGTAGGGCCGTAACATCGGCTTTCAACCCGCACGTAATCTAAATGTACGTATAGTAATCTCATTATTTACCGAACGATACGAGAATTGAGATCCTCGTGGATCGTCTTTGTATCTCTACTCTTCTTGTATAGAAATACAATGATATAAATCTCTTAGCACTACCGATAATTTATCAGTAGTATCGTATTTACATTTTGATTGATTCCCTCGTAAACAATTTATTTTTTATCTAAAAATTATATATTATAATTATACATTCGAGCACTGTCATTCTTCCTTGATGCTCATTCATTATTAATTCTTTGATGCAACAAGAAAAGTGTATAAACAACATTAAGTACATAATTTAAAGTTCATAATTCAAAGTCAATGTTTTTTAAGTCTCTGTTTTAATCCCAGAATAACTTCTATCGCAAGCCAATTATTTCGCAATATTCGAAGAAATGCATTATCGATTTACGATAACGAGAAAATGCGAAATATTCCAGGAATGATTACTGGGTTATACAAATATATCCGAAATAAATATGTTTGAAATTAGCTGAAACGATCAATATGTAGCGTACTTTCGAAAAATTTGTTCGATGATATGAGATGATATATAGGAAGACTATTAGTATTACAAAGATTTGTAATATCATTTATAATATATAACGATAAACAATATATTATTTAAAATATTCTCTTTAGATATTTCAATTTTTCGTACTTACAGCATTTTTTATACTAAGTTTTTATTTATTTAAACGCAAATGTGCTCAAAATTAATTCTTCAAATTTTTATCTATCTCAAATAAAAGCGCTTTTATATTGATTAAGTTATTATTTTACTAATTGACTACATATTGTCGGATCTTTTTCTTCAGAAAATGTACTACGGTGAATACAATAGAACAAATCTGTCAAGCTAAAGACGTGACAAAACAATTTCAACGTTTCGAAGAGTATAGTTTCAGACGGCTATTGATTGAAACGGGGAAAAAAGCTGTCGCTCAAACGGACTGTTTCGAGCTCTCGTTTACGAGAAACGCCTCGAGAAACGTTCTAATGCGTTCATCGGTCAACGGCACAAAACAAATATCTCCATTTGATCTCTGTTCTTTCTTCTTTATTCGGATTTTTTCCCGCAATTCCGTCTGCTCGCGTTGCGAAACGTTTTTATACTGTTCACAGGATTCATACTACGTAAATCGGATCCTTGCACACCGAGATTCTTGCTTCCTGGAGGATTCTTAATCTTGGACCTAAGGGAACCCCCATCTTTTGAAGTCTCTCCTCGCTCAGGTAAGGCAACTCCACCATTCCGACTTTCTCTTTCTCGAAAGCGGTTGCGTATTTCTAAAATTGTAACTATCATTGAAGACAGAATTTTCAATCAAAGAATAATGCACAGTTCCATTGGTTAACAAATTTATGATTCAGATGAATCATATCGATATCTTCAGCTAAGAAAAAGCTATTTCAGATTGATCGAGGAATCAGTCATTTTTCTTCGCAAAACCGACATGACGTAGCAAACGAATGTGGGACACATACCTCATACCCAAGTTCCCTCAGGAACAGTCTGATGAGGGGGGGTTCCGTGCCGAAAAACTTGGTCAGTTTCTTCACTCTCGAGGGATTCGAAAGTGCCGGCAGTTCCGAATCCTTGATTAGGGGCTGTGACTGCGATCTCACCATCGCCATGCTCGTTTGAGTTCTGAGGGCTGCGATCTCGCACTTTATGCTCTCCATTTCCTGCGAAAACCTGATAGTAGTAGAATCTTGGAAATTCTAGTTTTATACCGTAAGTGTTGTTAACTGGTTTTCTCACCTGTATCATCAGATGTTGGGTCCTCATCTCCGAACTCAGGTGAGCCACTGATCTTGCTAGTGTCACCACGTGCGACTCTAGTCGCTGAAAACGCTTGTTGATGCTCTAAACAATCAAAATACGTTTCGCCGTGATTTCGTAATAATAACTATTTTAAACTAATAATTTTTTTGGCTTTGTACAAACCATTTATTTAGCGACATTAACAAAAATGCAGTACGTTTCATATTTTAAATCTTTCTGTGAAAGGATTGAGTAGAGCATTATATAAAAAAATTAATCTTAATGAAAATTATTGAATTATTAAATTAATTAATTAAAATTAACGCCAAATATGTGTACAGTAGAACTTCATTTATCTATTATCATTCTTTATTTATACGAATAGGTTCATGTTCAGTTCCAAATATCCGAATTAATAGTTCCTATTATCCGAATGATGCCGGCGTATTTCAAATAATAGCAGCTCGTCGTATTCGACTTCAGTTTTCTGAACATCAGTTCCTATTATCGGAACTAATAAATACTAATAAAAGGGAGAGACCTCTATTATCCGTATCATTCAGTTATCAGAACTGTCCTTTTCCCCAACAAGTTTGAGGATAAATGAAGTTTTATTGTTATATACGAAGTTACATATAAATAAATAATTGTATATAAATCTCACACACACACACACACACACACACACACACACACACACACCTTAATATCTTTGGCTTTCTTCATTCTATCATCAATCACATGAGATCTACGTTTGTCGTGATGCCTCGTGACAGGTCTTGATGAGACAGAGGATGTCGGTAACGACGAAACTGAACCATAGCTAGTAAGCCCTCTCGCCTTCCGTCTTTTTTTCACGCTCCCGCCTAATAATTTAAGTACCTGCAACAATTTTTTCACATGCAAATTAAAATTAATTCAATTACGCTCGTGCCATCCTGAGTCCCTTTCAACGCGCGCGTACGATGTCTTCGTTAACTTTAACACATAATGCCATTTCTTTGCGACTAGAAAAAGCAATATGTTTTTTAACATTTTAAAATAAATTTTTTTTTTTTAATTTGGTAACACAACATGTATTTTTAATTTCAAAAGAATGAAAGAGTAATGCGTTTTTTTTTTAATTTTATGCATCCTTATTTCTCATAGAAAAAAAATAATAATAAAAACATAATGAATGATTTTATTAAAATAGTATCATACTTACTTCACTGTACATATTTTCTAATCCTTCCAACTGTTTCCTAATTGTCCTTGCATCAGTGGTACTGAGATCAGAATCGCTTCTGTCTAACATGGAATCTAAATCAAGTCCTGTTGTGGTGGATGTTAAGTCAGCAGCTTCTACTCCAAAAACTAAAAAAGTGTAAATATTGATATTAAAGAAGTATTAAATTTCAAAAAATTTTAATAAGTATAAAACAATAAGTATAAAATAAGTATAAAAATTAAATATTAACCTCTGGAATTATTATACCTCTGGAATATTAATTTCTGGAATTATTAATATGAGTTTGATCATAAAAAATTTAATGTTATTAATGATTATAATTAATAATTATAATTTTTATACAATTATATTTCTTTCTATATAAAGGTAACAAATTCTATATGCATTACGTGTTTAAAAAAATATATAAGATTAATATTAAAAAAAATTTATATTAAAAATTTTATATTTAAAAGAAATACTCACGATGAGAAAACTTTTTCGCAGCTTCCTTTTTAGACGTCGAAGCGCCACGATGTTTTGTGCTGCTCGGGAAACCTCTCTTTTCCATAGCCTTGCTATAATCGTTATAATTTGGTTTTGATCCATACGGTAAACTAAAACAAAGACATATCTATTAATACTATAAAAGCATTCATATTTGAAATAATAGCAAAACGTTACGTAAGAATAAAATTCCTTTGTATGATCAAAGATTGCTTTGTAAAAATATTTTATTAAAAAAAGTGTGATTATTTTGAGATTATTTTTTTAAGAATAATGAAAGAATAATTAAAGATTGACGATCAAATTAATCTTGCATCCGAATCTCGCGTAACTAACAATTTACAAAGTTGCAACAGAGAGGCGTTTATTTTTAATATTGTAGAGACCACTTTTCGGCCAGACATCGATATCGGAATTTCAATATACGAGGAAGGTAACAGAATCGGAAGTGACTCGAAGCGGTGACCGGAAGTAACACCGGTTGCATGAAGAAGAGAGACCTGTTTGAAGTTGAGTTACCTCGTTGAGTATCGATTTCTCGGCGTACGTGGGCTGTCATGGGGTGACAATGGTGGCAGAGGCGGCGTTACCGAGGATACACTTTCGGACAGAGTGGAGTGCGCCATGGCTGGAACATCCCTGGGCTCCAAAATACTCCTCAGCTCTGATTCCACTATATCCACCCATTCAGAATCTTGTGCTGAGAAAGAGAAACAAAGAGATATAAATCACATACAATAATAAATACCTTTATGTTATTTATAATGATTAATTATACCCAACAGAACAATTAATACCTTTAACTTTTTTGAAAGAGAAAATGAATTACGACTAATAAATCATGAAATAATACATACGAATAAAAAATAACACATATAAAGATAATCATCATAGTTACAGTACCATCATTTTTAAGATATATATAAAATAATTAATTAAAATAGCGCTCACTTATTTTTTATTATTAAAATAATGCATTATAATCAATTACAATTAAATATAATTTTTACAATATTATATAAATAAATAAGGCAATTATAAGATTTCTTTTAAAAAATACAATAATTTGTATCATTTTTTGATCTGTTTAATAAAATAATAAATGTATAATAAAAAGTTTATCTTTTGTGAAACATATAACTACTTTTGTAAATTCATATTTTTGCAAACACTAAGTAGCAAGCAAATATTAATATTATAACTTTTTCTTAATAAATGAGAGAAATAACATCTCAACAAAAAGAGAAAAATTGAATTTTATTATAACAGAAAATAATTTTTATAAAATTGAGATAACATATTAAAAAATCGTAAAATATATTTTTTTATTATTATTGTTTGACTAATAAGAGTGAAAGTTTAAGACTGAGTAATCGATTGGTCCTTTCATAGGAAACAGCTGACGCTGGAAAAAGTAGTCCAAAAGCATGTATATATGTGTGTATGTAAGATGACTACAAAAAGTTCAAGGTGAAATCAGAAAGTCGATTCTTACCTTGCGCTAAAGTTTGATCATCGGGCGGCGGACGTCTTCCGCTCGAATAGACTGCGGAGCCCCTTCCTGAATCGACATTCGAAGAACTCTGGCCGGCTTTGTCGTAATCCGAGCCTGAACCTTGATTCTGGATCTTCAATCGGCCGATACCCTGCTCCAGATCGTCTTTCCTATCTGATTTCACAACGGACTCCTTCCCGCTATATTGTCCACTATCGAGCCTTTTCGATGTCTCGCCGATCATTTTCGTAGCTAGACCGACCCTTAAGCCGTCCGCATCATCCTTCGGTGGCTTGGAGTTTAAATGACTCTCCTGCTCCGTTCTCTTCTGCAACTCTTCAATCCTCTTTTGCACAGAATTTCCCTCTATCGAATTCTGACCTCCCTCTTGACCCGATCCTTGTTCTTGCTCTCTCTTTGATGTTCGTGTCTCGTCTCTTCGAATCCCAAAGCTAGTTTCTGGTCGATACTCCTCATTCCTTTGTAATCCATTTCTTCCGGACTCACACTGACTTCGATCTTCCACCGTAATCTCATATCTAAAATGTATAGTATTCTTAGAGTTAAGTTTTTAAAAACTCTAGCACACTGCATACTCAAAGAAAAACATAATGTGACAACTATACAAGTTTTATAATTTTATATTATATATAATTAATGTATATAGTTAAATATATTGATATTTTATAATTCATATTATTAGGTGTTGGAATTAATTCGTAGCGTTTTTAATGAAAGAATGTTATTTATTTCACATGAGCATTAAAAAATACATTAATGAAAGTACTTCCCACTTTAAAAACGCTACGAATTAATTCCAACACCTAATATTTAATAAATCATTTTATAGCTATAGTAACTATAAAGTTTATTCAATTATGTGCATTAATTCTACATATAAAACTTGTACAGTTATCACCTACATAGTTTTACTATGGCTCGTATTCATAACAATGTTAGCGCGCATTTAGCATATAGTTTACGTTACTCATACTATAGAATTTCAGAAATAAAAGCGCGTTCTGAATACGAGCATTATCTTTTTCTCAGCACATTCCATCTTACTTTGGCTCCCTTCAACTTATTATACTTTTTACATTTGTTATATCTATAAAAATCTTACGTCAGTTAAATTTGCTATATCTATAGAAATCTTGTACATAGTACAATTTTCTTTAAGTCTTACCTCTCCTTATCCAACGGATCTACTGTTAAATTCTTCATATTCTCTCCGGGATTCTTCGAAACCTCGGTATTCCGTTCGTCTTCATAACAAAGTTGCGGCTGTGAAGCTGCTTTCTCGATACCCTTTGCAGAGTTTCGCCTCTGAAATTCCGTTTCCTGATTACTCTCTGTCTTCATGTACACCTGAGGAACACCATAACGAGGTCTTCCTTGAGCATAATGGTAGTAAACCTCTTGGCCTGATACTCGGAGCTCTTGCGCTTGTCTTGACGTGCTCGGAAGATCGATCTGCGACCTCGACATCGCCTGTCGCGCCTGCTGATACTGCTGATAAGAGACGCTATTGGGAAAATATGACTGCTGCATATTTCGCGCACTTGTAGTTTGCGAGCTCTGCTGGCCGACCATTTGCTGGTGCATCTGCTGGATTAATTGCTGACGCTGATGCATGTTCTGAGCGTGCTGCTGTGCGAACCGCGGACTCTGGTGATGGTTCTGATTCTGATGAAGCAACTGCTGAGGACTCTGGAAGCTTGGACTTGTCGTCGGCATCGTATTGCTCACTTGATGCTGTTGCACGGATAGACCGTGCGGTTTTTGCACTTGCGTGCCTTGCCCCTAAACCAATCAACCGGCTCGTTAACAATAAACTACCGTTAAATCGTGAACGCCTATCTGCTTTTTGTAGAACTAATAATATAGTGGAAATCTACTTTAATTAAGCTTTAATTAATTGTTACAGACGCGCGTATCGGCACGATAAATTATTATTATTTTATTATTATTAATAAATTCACTGGTTTTTAGAGTTTAATTACTGCATTATGTAATTTTATTCTATAAACAGAAATATTTATGTGTAACAACGCTTGCGTTATCCTATCCTCAAATTGTTTAACCGGGATGTCAACAATAATTTATTGTTAAATGGATAATTGGTCTATATGCTTTTTGTCGCAAATTGGTAATCTTTAAACAATTATTATAATAAATTTAATAATTATTATAATATGAGTAAAACGCATATATGTGAGCTTTCGCGGGTATTCGCGGGCATAAATTATATATTTATAATATAATAGATATAATTCGTATCATATACACAAACACACGTACACACATGTCATACATCAACTAACCAATTAAAACGTATTATATCAAATTAAGCTAAAGTATAAATGCAAACATTTCGATTCTGGATTTCAATTCTCTTCGGTTGTGGAAGTCAAGTACAAACTAACAATGTATATTTATACTTTAGAAGACCTAAAGAATTGAAAAGTTCAGATTACTTTAACTTCGTTTGATAAATACCTAATTGACTGCGAATTATATCAGTCAGTGTTAAAAATATATAATTTACGCATCGACATACGCAGAGAAGCTCACATAGACATTTTACTTGTATTAAATTTATTTTTGGAGTCCTGTAATAATATTTTTTTAATTATTAAATTTTAAAATATTAAAATTTAATTTTAAAATTTAAAAATATTAAATTTTTAATTATTAATTAGTAATTATTATTATTTCACAATTTTATTTTATTTTAACTTAATAATTATATAAATAATATTTTATAATTTTATACATAAAAGATTTTGTGAATTTTACTTATACATTTGTTATTTTTCATGTTGAGTCACTCTCTTTTGTGGTTTTTCTTATTCTAATTACCACAACACTATCATGCATCAACATTGATCATCGTTATTGCATAGATCGCATTATAAAAAAAAAATAATCCCGTACAATTTTCATCGTGGTTATATAAATTTTACAGACTTCTTTACGAATCTTTCCCATCGTGTACGCAACAGCATAGAAAGTTGTGAGATGCGTCATTATAAGTAATATACGCGCACTGTTCGTCGGTGATTTAGCGCTCCGTAGCGCCGTGTTGCACGCGTTCACTATCATTATACCAACCGTTATTTAACAAACTAAAATGTTAGCGCGCTGCTGAGCAAGTATCAATCATTATACTATATATGAAACATCCTGCAAGCTGTGTCACAGCTACATTATATATGTTATCATTCGAATATTATATTGTGCCGTTTAATGCTCCGCGTATATCAATCAACTTTTATACGAAATATAATTGGTTGTTATTTGACTATATGACTACGTAGTTACTTTATTCAAATTTATATGAAAGAGACGTCATGAAGATGACAAGTTATGAGACATATATTTTCATTCGCCGGCGAGTCTCTGTTTCCTGCACTCAACGAATATCCACACCCTCGTAAGAATGTCGATATTACGAAGCAATGCCACAAAAATACATTCGCGAATAGTATTTCAAACATGTATGTTTATCTTTCCTTATCAGAAAGCAATTTAAATTTGTCTTGAAGAAAAGTTTAAATGAAATAAATTATACTTTTTATTAAAAAACGATTTAAATTTATCTTAAAGAAAAATTTAAATGAAATTAATTGTACTTTAATAAATTAGAGCTTAAGAAAACAGAGGAAGGCAAGAAAATTATTTTTATTTAAGAATGCTTCGATGTAAAACAAAGTATCTCGAATAATATCGCATTCTTAGAAAAAGAGCTTAAAAGAGAAAACGATGTTAAAAAATTCCGTTAATCTTATGAAATAATAATGAATCAACATCTTATTTTATAGCGTTATAATTTTATTAATGTCATAATTTATTAAAGAAATAAGATAAAAATCTGTATAAATATTTTTTTATTCTTTTAATTTATATTATTTATAATTTTAAAAATTTCATTTAATTGTCACGCTCTTTTTTCCATACGACTCTTAGAAGACAAACTATGATCAACTCTACTTTTAATAATTTCCTTAATTTTAGTGTACACAATTAATTCATAATTTCATCATTTTTCTATTCGAATATCACATAAACTGATCAGTTGACTTCTGAAAGACAGGAAAACACAGAAACTGTTAACGTCAAATTTTCGCATCATTTATTCACCAGTAAGTTTTATTGAAATCAGACATCGACATGAACATTTCTCATCTTAATCTTGAAATGTACCTGTGCTTGCGTGGGATTCTGATGGATTCCTTGATGTATTTGTCCGGTCATACCACCCGATGTCTGAACCATGTACTCCCTCGTAACATTTTGCACCTGCTGCGCACCTGTCGCGGTTTGGCCAAAAGCAGGAACTTGAGTTTGATGAACTGTTTGAATTCCTCCTGGTGGAGTATGGTGGGTTACGTGAAGCTGAGCGCTTTGCCCTGGTAAATTCGGCTGAATAGTCGCGGTCGGCTGCAGTTGGCCTGGTAGAGGTACATTTTGCTGATTGCTTTGATAACCGTATGAGTGACCATACTGACCTGAACGAGAGCAAATATTTTTAATTATTTCTATTCGTTACACAAAGAAAATTAATACGAGCACAAATTGTACACTGTACGTGATTTAATAAACGTTATTTTTCTCTGATAAATGTATTATTTGTCCGTTACTTGTTATATTTTTAATTAAATTTACATATTAAAAATGCATCTATGTGTATTATGTGAAGATTTGAAGTAACTGTTTCAATATACACGCAAGTATTGAAGTGTAACTGAAACGTTGCATCATATACGTACATGCTCGTTCTGAACGCTATCAGGAATGCTAAAATGTATGAATATGCAATGCGCACTACTGAAGTTAATTAAAAGGAAAGTTTCTCGTCTATTTATGTGCCAACTACATACATTGAAGCACACGTATGGTGCGAACAAATCATTATTACGGTTATAGAAATTATAGAGGAGAGCAAAACGCTAAGGACAGGAAAATTACAGAGAAAAACTTTTAAACGCTAAAAGATTTAAGGATATATATGGCGTAATGAAATTTGAGATATTAAGGAAAAAACTTTGCATAAAAACAATCGTCAGAAATAATCGAATGAACTATATGCAATCTTATACTCGATTTCATCGATCTTCTTCAACATATATGTGTATCATCTTTTAAATATTCAATGACTCGACGATTAATTTTTAAGTAATTTTTTTTCTTACCAACTTATTCGTCCTTTCGTCTCATAAAAGACTTAAAAATTATTCCTTCATTTTATTTGACGATTAAAATGGCGAATCATTAATTTTACATCCGTTCATAGAAATTTAATGTTCATCGACCGCTAACCTCGATTTAAGTGAACAATTAAACGGAAAGGTATTACTCGTATTAAAGCTTACGGTAGATTGCGAAATAATAGCGGCGATATTGCGCGTGCGAGACTCTCGTCTTCGTACACTGAATTTACAGGTTTGCACAACGAGCGAATGCGAATAATACGCCGTGCAAAAAGGAGGAAAGTCACATCGCGTGTACTTGTAAGTGACAAGTTATAAGTTACGAGTAGCAAGGTGAGTTCACTTATTAAATAAAAATTGGAGTATAATAAATTTTCAATCAGAAGCTGTGACAAATAATGTTACCTTGGCTGTCGTCATTTAAAGATAATTACGAAGATTACAAATGGAACTCTCGCAACTTTCCATTTTTAAATTGTATCAATTGCTACATAATAACATTTAATGTATTTCTACACTTTATTGGTGGTTAATTATATTTACACTCCCAGCTGCGTGATAATTAATTAATTAATACCACTTTGTGTAGACAAATTAATAAACGATACGAAATGTTTCTTCTGCAACGAACTTCATAATGTTAACTATTTTTTGCAAATAGAGCTCGGCTAGTGCTTTTCTAGGAGTGGAAAGGCCTGTGTTGCTATGCACGCAGACCATGCATGCTTGCATACACCGTTTCATATTTATAAAACATGCAACTCTGCCATTTAATGTTCCGCTCAACAGGCTTTTCTCAAATTAATTCATCAACATTTATGAGCTAATTAACGGCACCTTGCTGAGCATCGCGCCTTAACGCGTCTAATTGCCCGACTAGTATCTTGCTCAGTTGCATCCAACTTACCGTAAGCATTCTTTGAATATTGTTGCACATTAACCGACGGTTCCTGTGCGCGAGGTTTTCCGTAAATCCCTTCCTTCTTCCTAGTCTCATCATCGTCGATGCTCCTGCTCGACTTTCGCAGCTCCTCCGTGACGTTGTTCAGACTGGCTTCCGGTTCCGCCTCGACGTCTTTGCGACTAGGTCCGAAACGACTCGAAATCATGTCCTTAATCGTGTGATAAGTTCTGGAGAGTGACTTTGTCTTTTCCTCGTCAATCTTTGTCGTCCTCGGTACCGCTCCACTAGACGATCTGAATACAGTACAATAGGAAGTTTAATCTCTCGAAGGCGATTAAAGCGTTATTATTATAATATGCGCCGCAGGTACGATAATACTGCTCATGCATTAATATCACCGTTAATAATAGAGAAACAATTTATTTCACTTAGCATCGATTGTATAACAAACGAGATAAATGCAAGAATGAAAGAAAGAAATTATATCTGAGATCAAACAATAGGCACACAGGTCTCTCTCTTGAATCTTTACAGGAGGAGGAGGACCGTAATTTAATGCAAGCGTGAAGTAAGCATGAAGTAATTACGAGTAGGCGTCCTGTGACTGATAGTTTCTCGCTTGGCCGTCCTGCCTTACTTCCTGCATCTGAGTTCCCTGAAAAAAAAAAAAGAAAAAACGCATTCGTCTGGTGAGCGCACATTGTTAATGATCGGCACACGTCGTTAATAAAATATCCTCTATAAATGCGTAAATTATGGAACGTATAACGTCCTATGTAAATCCATTAATTCCGTAACGGTGCGGCGCGGGCGGTTTCGTTAGATGCGTCCCATTAAGCTGTTAAACGAGGAGTACATAATTACATATCGGCAGCATCAAGAACGAGCATCTCGCAAAGTTGATACTCACTAACTTCGATACTCATAGGCATCGATGAAATTTATCTTTCGATTAAAAACCACCTAAACGCGAAAGAAAATGAAGTCTAATTAAAATTGAATAAGTTCGCCGCTCCGTTGTTAGCGAGTTGATATATTAAATTATTCGCCAGGCATGAGCATACATTAATCTGTTAGAGGAAAGTTGTTTACGTAGTTTGTGCGTCAAAAAGCAATAGGGAAAATACATTAAACTTTTACCATGAGAAAAAGCGACTACAACACTGGGAAAAACTTCTGATAGAAAATGAACAAGATTCAGAAGATTCAGTCAGAAGATTTTGATCATATCAATCATCATCAATGTAATCAGATCCTTTTTCAGTGCAAGCTTTAGATTCAGAAGAGAGTACATTAAAAATATTGCGTTGCGTTAAAGATGAATCAGTGCTAACAAATTTTTATTCTTTTAATTTAGTATCTTCAAACTTTAAAATGTTTTTTTTATTTTTTATTTTATTATTATTTTATTAACTTAAAGTCTTTTTTAGACATAATGCTAATCAAAATTACTTTTGAAACATTTTTTAATCATAAATAATTGCTATAAAATCGTTAGAAATTAACTATTCATTTTATACTACAAAAAAAAATGTTTAAGAAATGATAACTTAATCACTTAGATTCATTACTGTGAGTAAATTGGAAAAAATATATAACAGTATCATCTCTTTTCTCTTTTTTATGTCACAGGAAATTGCACAATAAGGAGCGTGAGTCCGAGACATGACACCTTAATTTCGCGTACAGTTCGTCAGAAATGATTCTCTTCGGGAAGCAATTCATAGCATGAAGCGTGCACTTATGACATAAGTAGTGTCTCAAAGTCGTCTAACTTCCAGTGAGCGGAATTCATTTAAAGTTTGTTCTAAAAAAACATGTGCTTTTTCGCTGAGAATCGTTTAATAAAAACGGCGACTTCAGTGAAATAAGCCCTCACAGTTTTAACGCTCGTTTTATAATTCGGGACCAGCTGCCACGAAATTATGTAAAGTCAAACTATCCCGTTACGTTATGGCCGTAGTTTAAACAAATGTCGTTGAGATGCAATTCTCGGGATTTATCTTTCCTCACAAAGAGGAATATTTTGATAAACCGTACGCTCTTCTAGCAAACGAAACATTAAAATAAAAATTTAATAAAGATATAAGATTATATATACATACAGTCGGCCAAAGCAAATTAAAAGATTGGAAAACGCAGGATAAACGTAAAATATTATTAAAGTAATAAATTTCCACGTAATAGAAAAAAAAGAGAGTGACTGTTTTATTTATTAAAAAAAACAATAATTAAAAACAATAATTTCACAAAAATAAATAATTCTTATATTTTATCAGTAATTAAGAAGCTAATTAAAATTTCTTTCCAGTATTGCAGAAGAATTTTAATCTTTCAAAATATCAAAAAGAACGTGCAATATTAAATCAGATAAAATATGTTTAGTTTAAATTTTCTAAAACGTATTATATATGGAATTAATTATCAGAGATCAGTAAGAATTATATTTATATGTGTAGTGTGTCAAGAAATCAACGATCTTAATTAGTCATCGTAAATTGTACACTATAAACTTTCTACCATATTGACACTCTGTATCTCTATCTTTCTGAAGTAGTAAAGTCGTTAAATTAATATGGTAAACTCGTGTCACAACATACTGGTGATTAAAAATACAGTGACGCGACGCGACGGGATGTGGTTGAGATATGATTCTATTCGGCTATATAATGACAGCGTTAATTTAAAATAAAATAATATGTTATCGACCTTCCAGGCTCGAATACTATTCCCTTCGAAGGAGGACATCAGACATCAGCTCTAACGGCCACGGTGACCGGCATGCGTTGCCTCGGCAATTTTAAAGTTAACGTACTGAATCCTACGGTTCTCGGGAAGAGAGATGCGCCTGGAATAACAACGGACGCGTAGGGCCCTGCGGATACGCATCGCGCATACGGAAAAGGCTCTCTGACTTATGGCCACGCTGATACCGTGCTGGGATTACAGCCGTACCGAAGATAAAAGCGAAGTTTTTTATACGGCGCTACACTTCGAAAAAAATCACGACTCCCCGATAACGTATTTGAATGCCTTTTATATCTATAAGAGAAGATGCAAAACTGAAGATAAAGGACGAATCCAATTATATTCTCATATATTATACAATGAAAAAAGAAACCTTATATCAAAATTGAGAAAATGTATCTATGAGCGCGGTATCTATGTATATATATATATATATATGTGTGTATGTATATGAGTGAATTCGCTTTAATGCACTCAGTGCACATTAAAGCATACAAATTGACATAAAAATATATGTTTAATATAAAAACGGATTAAACCATGAAATCTGCAATACATTTTATTGCACTGTTAAATAAAATCTGTATTTTGTAATTCTGTATTTTATATTTAATTTGCATGTTACTTTTATATATATAGATTAAATCAGTGTTCAATCGAATTCGCTAATAGACTATCCATTCGTCTCCTATATCAATTGACAACAATTGGAAATCTACAAATCTTTGTTTGTATTTTTCAGAAGAAATTAATGATGTGAAGTATACGTGTAAAAATGTAACTTTTTCAGAAAGTTGTTTCACTTGAAAATAAATAAAAAAAAAATAAAAAGAGAAAAAATGAAAAATAATGTTGCATTCTGCATCTTCTATATATGTACGCTCTTTTTGGTTGAACTTTTCAATTCATAGTATTTCCACATTGAAAGAAGAACTTTCATAGCTTCACTGCTCTAAAGCGGAGCCGTAGAGCATAGCCGTACGTGACGTTAAAAAGAGAAAACAAGGCTGAAAGCTGTAGCACATGGCTTCCACAAAAGTAGGGAAAAATTTACTTATGCGGAATCCTCGAAGTTAGCAACACCCAGAGTTCCTGAGAGCGCTGGAAATAAGTTTACGAGCCACGTGAGTCTCTACGGCGCGGATGATGTACCTTCCGCACGACATGCTGCGAACATGTTCGATGCTGATTAAGTGTCGTCTCGCACGATGATGTGTATTATGTAAAGTAGATTTAAGTAATTCGAAAGGCAACGAAAGTTGGCCATTCTGCACGCCGGAGCGTATCGAGTTCGTCAGCTGCGTGCGAAATCGCGGAAAGGTAATCCCTTCAGTGCACTCACATGATGTTTTTGTATCGTAATCTACGAGTCCTTTCTTGCCTTCACCAAATTCAACAGCGGCATTCTCCGTAACGACCGTAACGATATTACAAGAATGAAAAAAACAATAGTAAGTAAAAATCGAGAAAATTTAACAAATAAAGGAGAAGGCTATGTTCACACAGAAAGAACAGTTTTGCTGAAGTATCTAAAATCTAGTTAGAGCTAAAAATAATTTTATTTAAACTATAAAAATAATTATGTTAGATGTTTAAACTAGTTGCTAGAATGTTAAAACTTTTTGTAATATTGTCATGAAATGTTACATAATTATTTTGATGGTCCAACAAAATTATTTTCAAATCTGTGTGTGTGTATCTAGTTAAATTTTTAAATATTTTAGTAAAATTGTTTTTTTTTTCAATCAAAACAGATATTGATACGTAATAATATTTTGTGTGAATCTTACAACTTCCATACAGTCCAATAAAAAAAAAAACAATTTAAACGTTTAATTTTACGTTCAAAAATATAATAAAAAAAATTATCATTATAAAAATTTAAAGAACTTCTGAGAAATTAAATGAAAAATTTATTAATTTTTTCGCGCAAATCGGGTCATTTAAAAAAAAAAGTCAACTAAAGAACAGTCATAAAATAGGTGCATATACAGAAAGAGTATTTCTATTTTGTTACGACGCAGTCGTTTTTTGGTACACGCAGTGCACGTGAACAGCAGCATCACATGTTTTAAAACTGAATACCCGAAGCATTCCATAAACGAGCACCATTCTAGGATCAATGGGACCGGTCAATGACTACCCACTAATCGCAGTTTATCCAGCGCGTAATCTTGTAAACAGAAGAGACTTATTCATAGCGTAAATATTTATACCTAGTGTACTATAGCTATAACTTAAGATCACCTTGTTTTTGTAACATACACGGGAATGTCATACTACACAGCAATGTCATCTCTCTTTCTCGTGGTACATCGTTAACGTTAAAATCTCACCAGTGATGATCGTGCAGGATGTAATTTACTCCGGTAGTACGATCACGGTAGTATGAAAACGTTCCTAATTAGCAACAAACCCAAACTTGGAAATATGAAATAAAAAATATGACTTTTGATTGAAGAAACTAAATTGCTGTTATGTATGTTACGCTGATATTAATAGAAAAATGTAACTTGTAAAAAAAGTTATAAAAAGAATAATTTTTCTAAAGTATCTAAAAATTTAATTAAATACAGATCTGAAAATAATTAGGATGCTTACTGGTTAAATTGTCAAAACTTTTTGCAGCATAACTTATCATGCTTGAGATTTCTAAAAAATTATTTTGATGGTCTAATAAAATTATGTCCAACAAATTTGATCCAACAAAATTATTTTCAGATTTGTATCTAGAATTTTAGATTCTTCAATAAAATATTTCCGTGTATTTTTCAGGAAAATTTACACATTTCTCTTACCATATATTCTCTATAAATATTTCATATTTACTAAATATATATATATATATATATATATATATATATATGAAATATTTGCTAAGCTTTAATAAAATAGAGAAAATAGAAAAATATAGGAAAGTAAAAAAATAAATAGAATAAAACATATTTAATAAAAGAATAAAGAATTAAATATAATAACATACAAATCAAAGATATAACAGATAACAATCATCGCAACAATTATATTGACACAAGTAATTAAACACAATTTATAAAAAAGAACATAAAATACATCTATACATCTACCTTCGATCCAATATCAATTTCCACATCCTTCTCTTATGCCTTAAGGTATCAGTAGATAAAACCGGAAAAAAGAACGCCTGAAACGTGTGTTTCTGACGCCTACTGACGCTCACGTAGGTGGCACGTATATATAATGTTACACACACGTGACGATCGATTAAGCGAGGGATTTCGTAATAATTGTCAGACAATAAAACCTGTCCTCAAAGTAGGACGAAAATTTCCTCACTCTGGCTACCGTCAGAATTTTAACTTCGATGAACGTTACAATTCATTTAGATTTTTAGATTATTAAACTTATATTTACTCGAAGAATGTATATTACTTACATACTTTAAATAACAAGAGAACGCAAATATGCGAGAAATACAGAAAGGAAGAGAATGCATTAACAAGTGACCCAAGCATCTCGTTACGCTAGCCGCTATTGTCCGGAAGAAAAGATGCGAAGAAATCAGTGCGGTTTATCCACTGTGAATTATCAAGTAAGATCGGACTTACTTCTTGAACCCAGGCCTGTTGCTTGATTGGCGCATCCGGCGCGATGGCGACTCTTCCGGCGGTCCTCTGCTTGTACTCGTGAAGAATAGGGATCTTAGAATGACAATAATTACCGTTTGCTCACAAAATAGTTATCTTTCCAATCTTGCTGGAGACATGCATTAGAACAAATATTTTGTTCTATAAATCAAAATTTTGCTGTTAACAAAAATTTGTTTAAAATGTACGGAACAAAAATTTGTTAAATATACTGAGCGGAACTGTAATTTTATAGGAATTAAATTGTTTAATTAGTATAAACAAATATTTTTGTTATTTACAGGAAAAATGCATTTCATACGGAAGTAATTAAATATTTTATTGAATAAACAAAATATTTGATTGCTATTAAAAATTGTCTCAATTAAAGTTTTGCTGAAATTTTTTCCTGTAATGTGACATTACTCAGGTAAGATTCGCCAAATATATTTCGAATATTACAAATAAACTGCTTATTCATTCATTGATAATTTTCAAATAGCTAATTAATACGAACTAATTAACAGAATCAAAAGATTTAGAATCAAATTATTGTAATTAGATAATATAATTATTATTAATCGCTCATTTTTGCTTCTTATCAAATTTCTTGTAAATTTTATTTAAAATTCTTAACGCTATACATTTCAAACGTGCAAAATTTTTATAAAATTACTTCAATTAAAAAAAAAAGTAGTAGCCTAATATATATTAAAGTAAATTATTATATCGTATATTATTAATTATATTTTCTGAGTTCACGCATAAATGGTTCTGTTATTTCTTTTAGCAATATATCTTATTTTCAATTTTTATACTCTAATTTTTAATCTCGCAATTTGTTCAAATTGCTTTTCAAAGGATAATTAACGCGTTAAAGCAAATTAATCCGCTGATAAACTTCTTTTCTTAGCTCGCGCGCAACCGAGCGCGTCCTGAGAGGCGCGCTAAATGCACCTACATAGGTAAACAGAGCAAAAACAGATGGATGATATGCAGACGGCCATCGTGCGCCAAGAGATTTTCCGTGCGGCTTTCTCGGCCGCGTCCACGTCAGGCAGAGCATTCGTGTCGAAGGCGAGTTCGCACGCACGGCACGATGATACGCAAAGTGCGTGCACGGCGCGGCCGCGACGTGTGCGTTCGTTGCGTGCGCGTAATAACGCGCTGCGGAGTAGGTGTCACTGAACTAAACTGGCTGCAACATCGCCGGACATCGCCGCAATAACGCCGGGCATCGCGCTCGGAAGAAAGCAAGCGTGATGAAACGAGCTACTACCGCGGAAAATAAATGCACGCGGATAGGTAAGCCCCGAGCATAATCACGCTTGCGGATACATAACTACGTTCGCATACGTGTACAAGTACGAGATTTACTTCCCCGAGACTCTCGTTCGCTGATCGCAAGTCGGAAAACGCAAGACGAGTCTTTTTATTAACGATCACGATCTTGTCGTACGAGATAAGCATGATATTTGATTGTTAATCGTTCTCACGAGCCTTGGACGTGCGGTTACGAATTTTTGTGAGAAACCGAAGAGAGGAGTGTGAAAAAACATGAATGTTCGTAGGGAATACCATGCTCCGAATGTTGATACATTCATTTGCCTCGAACGTCACCGGTATCCATAAATATGCGATTCCCTGACGGTGAACTACCAATGTATTTTTATCATGTATGGCTTTTTTATATTCTTCACTGATAGGTATTTTTATTGTGTATGAATGTATAATAAAGCAAATATACATAATATATGTATTTGTATATGAATATAAATACATCAATCGTAAAATACAACTCACCTGATTTCTCATGATTTATCTATAATTATGATGTAAAAGATAAGATAACAATTTACCGTGATTGATATTTCACTATGCAAATAAAAAATTTGTATTAAATTTAACACATTTTACATGTCCCAAACGATCCTCTCAAGTTTTTATACTAATTTAAAAATTACAAAATAAATATATTAAAAATAAACAAATATATATAATAAATATATAAAAATAAAATAATAAATATATTAAAAATATATAATAAATATTATATAAAAAATTAACACAAAAATAACAATTTGATACAATTCGAAAATAAATTATGAAAGCACATTTCTTTGATAAAATTAACATTTATAAATTTAAATTATGTTAAGAAAAGTTTATATTAAATTAATTACGTACATTTTATTCATTTATCTTATGATGTACGCTTTGCATTATATTAATTTTATGTTTTTTATATTATTTTTATGTTATTTTTTTACTTATTCATAAATTATTTTAAGATTAAGAAATGTTGAATACTAATTTAAATGCAAAACATTCAAATAACCCAATCACATTATGTTAAATTAATACTCGTGTATATTAAAAATTCAACACAAAAAAAGGAGGATTGAGTTTAACAAAAATAATATAGGTATGTGAAAATAAGTTATTTAATTCTTTTGAATAATTTATAGATAAATCTGTTTGTTTAAATATACAGTTCATTTGCTATTTAAAAAAGAAAATGGGTCTGTTGACTTTATATAAGACTTAATTTGTGAATATCAAAAATAGTTTCCAATTGTGCTAATAAAATAAATAAATAACATATTAATTAAGCATCAGGCTGCTCTTCACCCTGATGAAGTGGATTGCAAAATTCACGAAATGTTAATCTTTATAAACAACATATATTTGTAAAAAGCTTATAATTTCCACATTTAACAGTAAATATTACTTTGAATTGTTTGGACAAAAGACAATGGCAATAAAGTGACAATATTTAATATAAAACGCGTAGCGAAAATACAGGACAAAAAGATTTATCGGAAAACTTGGAAAATATAATAGCGCAATGTAATTTTCTTCATAGGGCAATTTCTTTTTACAACATGCTACATTCTTTGCTTGCTTTTTCATCTAGAAATAATCCGAATGATTGCGTATTTTTCTTTTTTGAAAAAGACTTAGTAGTTACATCGGCATTTTGCTCAGGGCAGTCGACAGTGACGTCACTCATCGCAAGCGCACATGCACACACGCGTACACGCGGCGGTGTACTTATTGCGTCATAAAGCTGGATTATAAAAAAAGCTCGAGATACAACGGAGTGGTACGATGTTTTGCGGAAGAAATAAAGCGTGCTAATAGAGGAACGGCGTCATGAGAACGCGCGTAACGCGGTGCGTCGAGGCGTAAGCTCGCGAATAAAAATACCGATCGATTCGCGCCTTCCGGGGATGATAATAGGATGTGATAGAACCCCGAACACAACTGCATCTGATATTAGATTCTCTTAACTATAGCTCTTGCACCTAGCACTTAAGAGACATTGAATCTTTGATAGAGGTCTTTTAAGGATGGTTCTTTTAGTTAATAATCTCGAACATAATCGCTATTGTTATTCGCATGTGGACAGATATATACCGGATCCTTCAATCTTATATACATCTTAAAGTCTCAACTAAATATATATGTGTATGTATTGCATTAGAGATACCCTGTAGTTAATTAAATAAAATTAAGTCGATTACATTAAAATAAATTTATCAACGTTTTTATTTAATATTTTTCAAAATAAAATAAAAAGATAAAGGATTCTTCATAAAAATCATAGGTTCATCTCTTAGTTCATTAGACAGAATTCTCAGTACTTTAATTGAATTTTTGTTATAAAGCACGAAGCAATAATTCCAAACATGAGAATGTAATCACTCTTTCTCTGTCAAAGGAGATTTAATTCGCACAGAGTCCACAGGCTTTTATGTCACGCGATAATTAAAATGCTGTAGAAGGATTGATCGCAACGTGACAATATTTAACAAAAAAAGGGTTAATTAACATTGATTCGCAATCAGCTATTGATAAACATGATAGGCTGTGTCGCTTTTAGAATTTTTCTCTTCGATCAAGCGAGCCCGTATGCGTACGTGCGTATGTATGTATGACGTCACGCGAGCCAACGGTGCGTGGTGTGAAGAATTGGTGATAAAGGCGCTAGCTGAAATGGCAAAGGCCATAAAACACTGGATTGCCCCGATTTATTCTCACCTGCGGTTGTGCCGATTCCTGCAGAGAAATGTGGTGTGTATCTAAACGGCTATCGCGAGTAAAGCCCCCTTACCCGACTTCCGGCGAACGGTACGCACGTATGATGCCCCCTTTGTCTTGATGGAGAACCTCTGAGAACCTTCCCAAGAACAACGTAACTAGCGTACAACGAACTGTTACCAAAGATTTCTCCACCTTTCTGGACCGTGTTAATTCTTAATGCCAAACGCGGAAGATCAACGCGCGCCATTTGTACCGCGTGATTACGTTCAGCTAATTAGTCGGAATTGACTAAGGTCAGGCGACGAGAATCAAAGGATAAATCTTGATAGACAATAGAGAAAATTAGAAATAAAAAATGTATACGAGCCTCAATGGAGAGATAATAACGCGATAATTGTCGGTCGAGATAAAACACGAGATAATGCAATCTTTAAAAAAATCTCAAATGCAGAACTTAATTGCTTCCAGATTTATATTGATGGAAAAATGACTGAATATTCGTTTAAACTGAAGTATAGTGTGTAGATATTTCATCTCGTTACAAGTATAACTGTCTGTCGGCAAAAATTTCCCTTCGACGATTTCTAGTGGTGGAATTATAATTGAGCCCGGTTTATCGTGTCCAAGAAATCAAGTATGATTCTAGAAAGCTTAACCGTTTATACCGAATAAAGCGTGAATTCTACTCGTTCCTTCTCGTTGTACTTAACTCCGCAAGAAGACGCATCGAAATGCACGCGTAGAATCTCCTTATTCAGAAAGCCGTGTCGTGTCATCTGCGCAGCAGGTTGATAATTACAAGAAATCATCAGCGGGAAATCGCCTGACACTGCCAAAGTTTCTACAATCAACGAGCGTCCAATCGAAAGCGCAAGCGACGATATAGCTATAAATATAACGTTCAAAAGAAAGAAAGTCTTACTATCGCAGACGTGTATTAGGTGTCCTAGAATCTGTTACTTTCATTTTAATAACAAATTTATTAACGAATCTCAAGTGATTTTCTCCTTAGAGAGCTTCAAAAGAAATAGTCATCTGCTATATTTTGTATATTTAATACATTCTGATATAATTAAGTTCTAAATTAAAGTTTTTTTTTTTTTATAATTAAGATTTATTTAAACAGTGTATATTATTTATAAAACAGTATAAACATAGTATTAAATTTGTATTATATTTTATTATTATACTAATTTTATAATATAAACAAATTATTATTTTTTTTTTAATAGTTCTATGATTTTCTAAATATTATCTATTTTCATAAAAAAATTGATTTTTTAAATTTGTAAACAGAGCTTTTAAACTTTAAAACCTTTATCTTAATTTTAAACAGTTTCGCAAGCATATATTTAAGTTTAAAAACATTCAAGTCTTCTGATCAAGATTTTTATCAATTCAATGATTATATTTGAAATTAATATGATTGTTTATTAAAATTAACTTGCATAACTGTATATTAGGTTGTCCTAAAAGTCTTCTCATCTTTTTATTTCATGAATGACACAATGTTATACACAATGATTTCGTAAATACTTCAATAAATTATGAGAAAAGATGCGACCTTTCCTTTATAATGTTTTTTTTCAAAGTTTTTTTTATTTATCAATGAAAAAATATTAATTGAGGCATTTTTTAATGTCATTTAAAAAACTGAATTTTTTTAGAGAAAGGAACAACACACAGGTAATCGAAAGATGACTAATCTGGAGAATAAAGTGGATAAAACATCCTAATCAAATACCATCAATTTGTTTCGAACGGCCAAAGGCGTGCGCTCTTTGGTCGTTCGAAATAAGTTGCTGGCGATTGATTAAGATGTTCTGCTCCTTGCTTTTTGGACCTTGCCTCTTCTGCCTACTACCTGTCTCTAAAAAATTCTTTTCGTGATAAAGGAGCCCTTTAAATTCAGAGAGCTCTTTAAATAATATAAAAAACTACCTCAATCAGCATTTTGCTAATAAATCAAAGAAACTTTTAAAAAATGGCTTCTAGAGAGCTAGAAAAAAATGGTAGAACGGTTGTATACTTCAGTAAATTGTGTCATTCATGAGGTAAAAAAATAAAAAAACTTTTGGGACAGTTTAATATAAATTATCACAATTCAGACTATTCAATACAGAAAATAATTGAAAACGTTATTTCAAGAGATATTGTACATCATCGTCGTCGATATTATTTTTATGAAAAAATAGTATGTGATCTCTTATAAATAAATATAATTAACTGGAGAGTTATGAGAACAATAATGAAATTTTACTTCTATTTACCAGACGTGAAATTTAATTTATCAAAAGCAACATATATGATATTCTTCAAATAGACGCTTTAATTTTTCAACGCTTAAAACAAGTGAACGCGTCAGCCATGATGGTATATCCGTTTTAATAAAAATTTTAGCAGGATTAAAAAAACCATCGAAAGCGAGTATGGCAGAAAGAAAAAAAATTATTATAGAATGCAGATATACATGACTAGAATATGAGAAGATGCATTCAGTAGAAGCACAAAATAAATGAACGTTGCGGGAAAGCAAAGATTTAGAACCACCACTGTCTGCATTATGCGTTGCGGCGTCACTCGGTTCTTTTTCGTCTCATTGTTCCTAGTATATACGAGGCGACATAAAACAAGCAAGGTGTCACACTCGCCCTCGTAGGATAATTAGTGACCTGTTCGTTTAGCGAAGGTACACTAACCCCGGTAAGCTCCAAAATTGAATGAAAAAGCTTTTTACGCAGAGAGAGATTATAACCTGTACGATTTCGATAACTTTTGACTTTTATTATTATATATACAAGTAGAATTAACCTTTGTTTATTTATAATTTTACACGACAATACAAAATACATTTCTTTTTATAATTTGCAAAATTAAATCAACTAAAAAAAATTATGAATTTTAATTAATTTTTAATATTATATTATTAAGAATATTTTATGTCTCAATTTCAGAATCTTAATGGCACATTAATTTCCATATTGCATAATTATCTTGTTAAAAAGAAGGAAGATATATATTTATCGTAATTTGATCAATATTTTATATTATAATACTACATCTTTATCAAAATAGAAAAAAATGCTGACAACGTCATCAATAAATTGTATCTATTTTCATATGCTATCTACCTCAATCGTTTTATCTGTTTTTAGTTGTTTTATTTATATCAATAATGATCATTATCTTACATCTTCATATCGATTATTATCGAGTATATTTGAACGTCATACTTTTTAAATATTAAAATATAATATAAGATTTATATAGTAAAAATAATTCCATAATAGATTATCGCACGAATGCATTCTGTTTTAATTATTGCTTACTAAAAATGAAAAATAGGAAAAGAAAGAGAAGAGAGAGAGAGAAAGAGAGATAGATTAAATAATAAAAAAAAAACTGACACTTTGTAATTGCAGTTTTCCGGAAAAATCGGTGAAAATCACAGCGAGGAAGTGATTGATAAGAATAATGGTGTTATAATTTCACCGTTCACGTGCATTATTACACTTACCGGGAACTTGCTGCTGTGAGTCTGCAAACTGGCCGCCTGTTGAGCCTGACCCGAACTCTGCTCCTCCCCGTACAAGGGTGGCATCCTGTATTCCGGTGCAAAGGGCTGCCCGGCTGCGCTTCGAACCTGCCCGTCCTCTGCGACGTTGGTCCTTTCCGGACCGGAAGTCGTTCGCAATGACGGCCTCTCGGCTACCGATCTTGATTTTTCTGATTATTCGACACCGGTTTCGGTGGTGGCACTGGTTTGTAAAGCCCCTCTTCATCTGCAGAAATACATAACCGCTTTTTTAATATTTTAACTGTGGTATAACTTAATTTATTAATTTAAAATTTTTTAAATGTATTGAAAAAGAAATTACGATTGCAAATAAGATTTTTCATACAGCATAATAATTAGCATTATTAAAAACAAAATAAAGTTATGATGAGTAATAAAAAAATGTCAAATAAAAAACTATTTTAATTTTAAAACGTAATGACAATGGATAATAATCATTCAGACTCTTTTTTAGTCAAATTAAAATAAATAAATCACAAAATATAAAATATAATCATAAATATAAAAAAAACATCTTCCTAATACACAATTGTGAATTTTTCATGTCATACTTTAACGTAAAATTAAATCGGCGAAGAAATTATGTATGTACATGCAATGTGTACATATTAAAAATATGAAATAAGTAGTAGGTAATATATTCATCGCCACGGCGCATCCTGGAATATCCTTGAGCCTGTGACATGAATGTGTTAAATAACTTATTCAAATGAAAGATGCCTAGGGAGAGAAAATTGCTGTATGTATTATACATAAGTATACTGAAAACTATATTAAAGGTATTTTGTAATCATAGATAAACATTTATTTGTGAATAAAGAATATAAGTTGCTTTAAAGACCATGAACATTTCGTTCAGTAATATTTACGTAAATCTATCGTTCGTTCAGTAATATTTACGTAAGTTTATTGTTCATTCGATAATAAGATACTAATTAAAGTAGTTTATTGTATATTAATTAAAGTCTACATTTGTTAATATATTTTTTCCTCGTTCACTCAATTTATTCCTCGTTTTCAACATTTTATGCACTAAAGTCTCATAATATTTTTAACACAATTACAACAGAACGATCGTAATGATATTATAGTTACACACGTACGTGTACTGCATTATTAATGTCATATTATATCCCTGCTACGTCCTAACTACGTCTGCATTAATTCCACAGGAGGTGATATATTTCGGTGCAACTAGATCGTAATTAAGGTTTGCCTTGGAGATAAGGACGTGTAAGTTACATTATAAATCAACATGGAAAGAATGAATTTGTTGAAGTATCTAAAAATATAAGAAGATACACCAGTAAAATAAGTTTTTATGTAAGAATATATACATATAAATATATATAAACACATAATATAAAATTACAAAATGTATCCATGTTTTTTAATAAAATTTCTGTGCCGTACGAGCAAAGTAATGATAACAAAAACATAAACAGATAAAAAAATAAACAGATATTTTTTTGTATTATTTCTTTTACAAAAAGTCTGATAAAATGAGAAAAAAATATTCTATATATATTAGGTGTTGGAATTAATTCGTAGCGTTTTACAAGTGATGGGAAGTACTTTCATTAATGTATTTTTTAATGCTCATGTGAAATAAATAACATTCTTTCATTAAAAACGCTACGAATTAATTCCAACACCTAATATATATATAAATATATGATTAAAATATATTAAATATACGTATATACTGTATGGGCAACTTTTCATTTTTTTAAATTCAACTTTTTATAAAAAAATACAAAAATAATCTTTTTAATCATTTTTATATCTTCTTATTATTATTATTTTTTTTTACGAAGAAATAATTTTCACAAAAGAAAGACATATATGAATATTTACGAATATATTGTGTACATAATTATATGTACTTTTATGAATATGTTTACATATAATTATATATAATATTTATATATATGTTTTTATATAAATAACTTTTTTCCAAATACAGATCTAAATATTAGGTGTTGGAATTAATTCGTAGCGTTTTACAAGTGATGGGAAGTACTTTCATTAATGTATTTTTTAATGCTCATGTGAAATAAATAACATTCTTTCATTAAAAAACGCTACGAATTAATTCCAACACCTAATATAATTTTACTGAAATATAATATTAAAATAATTATGTAGAAAATTCAAGCATGATAATCAACGCTGCAAAAAATTTTGATATTCTAGTAACTAGTATCTCCTACATAATTATTTTGATCATCCAATAAAATTATTTTTAGATCTGTATCTAGCTAAATTTTTAGATACTGAAGCAAAACCTTTTTTTCCATGTATATTCTTAGAGAACATGAACTATCTAGTAATATGAGATCAACACGTGTCTATGTGTACCTTGGCTTTGATTCTGCCGCCTGAGACGATTCTCCTGCTTAACTTTACGGACGGTAGTGGCCATCGCGTGTTGGCTGACCATCTCTAACGAATACTTTCACAAATGTACTTCGAGTCCCCTGTTTTCACCCTCGATGGTCACCCTAGCGAACGAGTTATCGACAATGACAGACCCCGGGTCTGTTCAACTCAATGCGTGTGGCTTCGGATAATGCATATTCTTAGATGAAATCCTCCAACCCACAGTTGAGACCAATTACTATAATCGTCAATCTGTGATTTAAGATTTAAACTGACATATCATAACAAAAATATACCGTCCTGATTACGAGAAAAGATGTTATACTGACGACGACTTAAGTTTGGGGACCACCCAAGACGCAATTTCTTGTACAAATTGAAAGTCTTTTCGTCGCACATCAGCAAATTCTTTATTTTACACGAGAAGGAGTCCCGGCGATGACAGACTGCCAGCTGTCCCGACGAGCATTTTACAAGATTACAAAGTTCATTAGTTCTCCTCCATTAAGACGTTGCAGCAGTTTATCTCAAATTAGTTTCGCTAATTTCTCCGCAAGGTGACCGCTTTACTCGTTAAGGTACACTAATTTATATTTATGGTCCCGCCTTTTTTGTAATTGAGACAATGATTTCACTTTAATTAAGGAAACGAAGGATGATAACATAATGAATTAAAATGTATGCTAGTTGGTTAACGCAACTTTGGGAGGAATTGGGTTAATTAGCATTCTTCTACACGAGGGACTTCCGTTTCACAGACAACCTTTTGTCTCACCCATGAAAATCACATGGATCTTTTTTTTTTCTTTTCAAAGGCCGTCATCATCTTGTCACTTTCACGCGAAAATGCTTATTGTTCGACGCAGCGAAAACTCCTCTATTTTTCATGCGGTTGCGCACGAAAAGAGAACGCATTTGAAGTCGACTATGAAATAACTTTCCTCGTTCGGTGAGTTTTATGTATTCCACAAAAAAGTTCGCGCTGACGAACCGAAATTTTCAGTGTATTTGCTTCGAAAAGAAAATTACAGAACGACGTCGATCGTTTTCTCTGAATTTCCAGATAAAACTCCAAATAATTTATCAGAAATACGACACTTTGAAATTCGTGCACCATTTCCAAAATGGGAGTTAATGTATAATGTCTCTCGCCAATTTATCGTTTCCCTTATTTTTCACGGAGAGAAAGCTTTTTCTTTGCCATAGCTTAATGGCGACTTTCCTTATGCATCCTTTTTCTTCCACCCTTTTTCTCTCTCGACGGTTCTTGTAATATCCCCGATCCAATTTATTCAACCGCTGCCTTGATTACTCGACGATGTTATTTGCTGCTCCCCGAGACTTCCGGCGCTTCACAATAAAACGTACTTTGTTTGCCGCGATAATGCAACTTCAAAGAATGCCTAGATTTTTTACGTTCATTAATTTAACTGCAAATTTTCTTTCTCATTAAACTATCTATCATTCAAATTCTCTCAATCACTTGATCGAAATTTCTCCGATCGGCATACACAAATCTCGCGCGTATAACTATAACAAAAATCAATCAATGAATTCAACTATTCACTTATTCTTCCGAATCAAATCCGTTAACGTCCAATTTTCTTTCTTATTCATCGATCTCGATGCAATTCCGTCAGTCAACATACGGCACATGAAATTAAACTGACGTCCTACAAATCTACTTGTAATTCAATCCTTCATCAGTTCAAATTATTATTCCTGAATCTTCGGATTACTTTATCCCGATTCTTCTTCTCCCGATTAATCTTCCTTTCACGCTAGATATTCAACTGAATATTAACATTTCTAAATCTGCAGCTTTCACTTCCGAGTATCCAATCGGTTTTCTTCGAGAAACGTCGCACTTTCAATGATCCTTGTCGAGAGAACGAAATATCGACACTTCGCGGAAAGAAGCTGTTTTTCCTCCGCGCTCGCTAGAGTAGAGACGAGCGTGTGTAGCAACCTTAGAACAACTCACGCCGGTGGAGCTCAAACTTTCCATTGAGTGAACGTCGTGGTTCCGCCGTTCTGACTTCACTTCCGGTATCGTCCCACCACGAGGAGTCATTATAGACACTCCGGCGGTGGGAGAGAGCGAGACGGAGAGGGATGAACGAACGACAACGGGGAGTGATTGCCGGAGCAGGCGGAATGAAATAGTCAGACGTCAAGAAGGAGAAAGAGGGAACAACGTGTAGTGAAAAGGGAGAGAGGCGAAGAGAGGTCGCAGGAGGGACCAGGAGGGACCAGGAGGGACCAGACCGACGCATCAGATAATTTATTCTGTGCTCATACGCGGCCGAGCTCCGCGACGCGCATCCGACGAATATCAAGCTGCCTCGTCGCTACCGAGATCTCTCGATCACCAATCGTTAGATCCGTAGTCTGAAGAAACAAACATTCACGACGAATTTTTGTTCCTTTCGTGTCTGGAGTTCGCTTGAGTACCACAGACAAAGTGGTGTTTCGTGTTTTTTCAAGTGAACTAATAATCTTTTACGTGAATATGTATTATAAAAAAGAGGAAAATATAATTTCTATTTTCTGAGCTTGAAATCGATACAGTTACGACTTGACGATGGAATTGAAGTGCATGTGTGATTTTAATTCGAAACGGTCTATCTTTTCTAAATATATTCTCCATATTAAATCGAGATAAGATCTAAAGTTTCTTAGCTACATATTTCGTTATGCTTTAGGAATTAGTAGGAGTTTGTGAGAAATTCTCTTATAATTCCTTTCATAAGCTTAATAACTTAATGAAGTTACGAAGCATAACGTTAGAAGTTAGACAAAGTTTAATCATTTTCAGACATACTTAATTCAATGACTTACTTAATTTTTAAATAAAAATGATTGTTAGTTTCTCTCTCGAGAAATATTGAAAATATTTTTAAAAAGAGGATTAGAATTTTTCTAATTTAAAACAATTAAAAATTTTTGATTTTGCATATTATAAAATAAAGATCCCATTTACTTGACGTATCGCTTCCGTTCTTACGATCTTGTATTAACAAAACTTGCATCAATTACGAGCGACAATTTGAATGGGGAACAATTTTGCATTCAAGATAGCAGTACAGGGCGAATTAAAGCCCCTGATTCGAAGGAAGAAAAGAAGGAAAAATCTGAACATCGAGTACTTGCTTTATGCGTTCGGCGAGATTTCCACCGCCGGTAATAACACGGTGCGGTACACGCCGGAAAGGAGAAAAAAGACGCGATCGAAACACAGATTAGTGGTTGCCGATTGCGTAGAATCATTATCGGAATGTGGGGCACAGCGAAGATAAGAGCAAATCGTGCGGTCTTTCGCGGTGATCAGGGAAAGCCGATGAGGATGAAGAGGCATCACAGAGCTTGATTCTACTCGTTTAATTCCTATCTTGATCAAGCCGTGCAACTCAATATCCAAACGCTGTTGATTATCGTCTTTATGTGAGGTAGCTTAACACATTCCCATTGCACGCTCAATATATTTCTATATCGTATTTATATACTATAATACAGAATTAATTAATCTCACAATCACAATTTATGTTTTTCAATTGAAAATAACAGATTTTAATTGGTAATTTCACGAAACACGCACTATTCGATATCTGCCTGATATTCATAATTCTATGATAATCGATTCTTATAGTTAAGATTTTCTAAGTACAGTCTTAAGATTTATAAGCCATTCATTCATAGCATCTAAAGAGATTATTTAATACTGATCTGTATCTATTTGATCCAAAATGTAATTAATTTTTTTGCATTTTATTAAAAAAATTTTTTCTCTAATATTTGACGATTTCATTTGTTAATAAGATTATAAAAATTGGTTAGTGAAAATTTTTTATTTTTTATTTCTTAAAGCTTTTTAATCATATTGGCCAAAGAACAAACCAAGAGAATTCAACAGAAAGCTTAAATTAAAAATAATCAATCTCTGTCACCGAAAAAAATGCTTGAAATGACTTTTTTAATGTAATTTACAAAAATTTTTTTTTTTTATTAAAAAATTGTATGTTCTAAAATTGAATGATATTAATCAATTTTTTGTAATGTAACTTACAAAATTTTCTTATTTTTAATTTAAAATTTGTGTTGTTTTAATAAAAATATTTGATATAATTAAAGAAGTTCAACCAAATTTTACACATATCAATAAAATAATAATTTATACCAAGCATTTTTCTCAGTGCTTATAAATGAATGTTATTTATCAGTCAATGTTCGCAAAGAATTATTCGCTCCAACGTAGCTTCCTAGCGATCCCGTTTTTACAATTTGATTATTGTAACATGCTGATGATCAATATACGATATACAGTGGCGTAATTTAATTTTCTAGCTGACATCTCAAAGGAATGTAACAGTTATTTGCGTCTTCACTCACAGAATGAGAAAGGTAAAAGTCTTGCCGCGGCTGAAAAATTTCACATATATCCACCTACTCGCTCCTATCCGTCACGTTTTAACCACCGCATCGTGATGGATCGTCGCCTCGACACGACGGCGTGGATTACCATCTTCCTTCTCGATGCTCCTGAGATCAATCAGCGGATAAGAACTCGCGGTTATTATTGGTAGAACGCGGATTTCAGTTACGCCCACCTGTCAATTCTGTTGCTTCGATTTAAAGCACTTTGAAAATTTCCTTTCACATAAATTTTCTCGTTCGCCATGCTCGATCCGAGATCTATATAATTACGTTGATTTTTACACGCGCGAATCATGCCGACCTGCCGGCGGCCGTTATCTCCAAATACGAAATTTAGCATAAAGCTGTAAAGCTCTATCGGATGATAACGTACCGCTATACGGGAATCGATTTGTATAATTCGATCGAAAGTTGTGTCGAGCAGAAAGCCGATGTTACGCGTAAGCGCTTTATAGTCGCGCATTTCCTATTTTCTCGACTCTTCCTTTTCCTCGACGAACTCGTTCCTCGACGAGTGACGATTCAGTGCGGCGAATGCAGCTGAGTCGATAGCCACTCCGCATCCGATGCTTGTCGATCCGAGATTTTTAACAAACCACATATATACCTGCCGTGCTTACCCCTTTCGCGGTCGACTTGATGGCCGCTCGCAGCCACTATCGATTTCTGCTATCGAGCCTGATTATGCTCGCGCGAAGGCGCGTGAAACGTGCTCCAACATTATATATGCAAGCAGAAAATATTCCTAAGGTAAGTTCGAGCGCAGTAACTCTGACACTGTGCTAATCCTTTCAACTACAATCCTACAATTATAAAAATTATACCCAAGTTCTAAAGTGTCCTGTTTAAAATACAGAATAATGTTCCTGTTTAAAATACAGAATGAACCTCCTCCTTACGATTGAAAGGAAGCGATTTAAAGTTTTCTTTATCTACAATTTTTTTAGAAACTCATAGTATTAATCGTATCGACTATACAATCATCAAAAATTTGTGCTTTGGATTCAAATGATCCATTTTAGTCAAAGATTAAATATGTGTAATATAACGTAAAATATATTATAAAACTAATCTTATTTTCTTTTTCCAATACTAATCACTACTACTAATCACTACTACTAATCACTATTAATAAAAAAATATTCATGACAAAAGTTTTTCAGCATCAGTACGGTTATACATTTCCTTGAATATAAAGTACAAGAATATTATAACAGACTACTTCATTTTCCACGATAATAGCAACGTGTTATTATGCAGACCTTATATAACTTTCCTAGTACTGTTATTTCTTCATTTCAATCACAAAGTTTCGCTGTTTGTGCTTCATCATGGAAGAAGTTATCGCTAATAATCGCTATAACGTGTTCACGTTGTAATCTCTCTTGAAACGCAAATAGTATCATCAAATTGTTAATCAGAATACTGTTAATTAGAATTAACAGTATTCTGTTTACAGTTAATTAGAATTAAATTTGTTTGCAGATTTTTTACCAATTTGGGATCCATGTCTCTGTTAATAAAAATGTTGGGAAATAAATATTTTTTTTTATAAGTTAAAAACAAAGAGCGTTTTAATAAGAATCAGAAAACGGCGCAACAATAATAAAAATTCAAAGGTTATTAAAAAGAAGGTGGCTTGAATTCTACATTTAAAAAATGGTTCAAAATTATCCGTAAATAAAAGGCAAGACAATAGGTACAAGAAATCCTGCTGCACATCGTTTTAAAGCGCTTTATAATCGCTTTTAATAAGTTTCGCACTTCTCGTTTCCTAATTTATTAACGCGTCATTAAAACGCAAGTGTAATAGTTTTAATTCGGATCTTAATGCAAAACCGATTCTCTCAACATTCCTAGCATCCTTTGCATCGACACTGCCGTTAGTTTCACACCATATCGCTTCTCTCTTCGGGGCATCGCTGGAATTAAACCCTACGCGAGATTCTGGCTTTCCTGATTCCGACGAGATATCACGGCAATAGCGTTCGCGTTCCATTTAACCGGTTCGCTATCGGCGAACGATGCAACGTCATCGAAAGATCCGCCGTGACGTCCCATTATGCCGTTCGCTCACCGTCGTCGTCGGTCGCTTCTCTATGCGCTTTACGCACTCCTCTCGTTCTTTATCGCCCGCTTGTTACCACGGCACGACGAATACATGGGAAATATACGTCGACGGTTTAGGATGGCGAAGGCTTTAGGATGGCGAATTCGTTTGACGCCATTATATGCTGTCGCGTTTGATGTTGACTTTATACGTCGAAGTTATCGGCAAACGTCGACTCCCAATGCCAGCCTGCGTTCCATTGTGACGCTCGCAGTTCGAAAAAGCGACACGAATTCACACACAATGCTGAAAACTAAAGGTTAAAACATAGAGGAATATTAATAGCACTTGTAAAGGAAAAATTTAAAATAATCACCCAATTGTATACACATACAGCTATGAAAACTAAATAGAGAAAAATA